ACAAAGTTTCGGAAATGACACAGGAGAGCCTTCACCAGTCGTATGCTGTCCAGATTGAGGCAATACGGTAATTTCCCTCTTCCAGCTCATGCTGATATGAACGAAGTACTGGCCGCCTTGGCCCGTGAGGCTGGTTGGACTGTTGAGCTCGGCGAAACTACTTACAAGCACTCTCCTACGCCCCAAAATCACCAAAATTTGGGAACATTTTCAGCGAGGTCAGGTGAAAGTCCATTATCAACCAATTCTTTGAAGAATTGCTCTGTTAAAGCAACATTAGACTGTAAGCCAGCTGTTGTCAGAATTGATGAAAGAACCAGATCCCGATTGGACGTTTCGTCGGCGAATAAGGAGACTTTTTTGACCAACAAAAAGCCGGATAATAAATTTAGGCCTGAAGGTTTGCCTCCTTCACAACGAAGGAATTAGGGGATTGGGAAGCGAGCTTTAGTAGAGGCATCAACAGCTCAACCTGCTGAAGATGATGTCCACGATGGAATCAAGGAGTTCAGTACAAAGGGGTGTAGTGGTAACAACTCTGGTGAAGGAGCAAGAACTGAGAGATTCAAATTTAATAACTGGTGGAAGGAAGGCCATACAAATGTTAGTAATGGGTACAGAAGTGGATGCTTCACGTTATTCATTGAAAACCTACCAGAGAAGATCCATTGGAAGAGACTTGGATCTCTATTTTGCACTCACGGTCATGTTATTGATACCTTCATTCCTAACAAAAGAAATTCGAAAGGGGTTCGTTTTGGGTTTATTCGATTTGCAACAATTGAAGAAGCAAATAAAGCGATATCAAAGATGAATGGCGCTCATATTTACGGCAGCAAAATTACAGTCTCTTTGGCTAAATATAAACCTCGACAGTCTTATTGGAGAAAGTCCTTGACTGTTGTTCTACGTAAGTCTGAGATGGAAGATGTTTCGAGAAATAAACACTGTGAAGTTGATGGTGTTGTGGACGAACGTGTTGAGTAACTGTCTTGTTGGGTGGTGCAAGAACTTTATCAAAATCGGTAATCTTGCTAACCAAATGCAAGCCGAAGGACTAGCTGGTTTCACGCTAATGAGAGCAGCTGGAAATGTAGTTCTAATGGTTTTTGAAGACTCTGATTCGTTGAGAAGTGTGAAGGATGATAAATTAGAGACTCTTGCAAAATGGTTTTCCAGAGTTGAAACTTGGTTAGAGAGTCTGGTGATGGAGTGTCGTCGCATGTGGTTAGTTTGCGAAGGTGTTCCTTTTCACGCTTAGAATTGGGATACTTTCAAAAACATTGCAGCTAAGTGGGGTAAATTATTAGCAATTGACAACAGCTGTGAGTTTCCACCGACTTTTGATCGGGCTAAATTTCAAACACTCACAAAGGCTCAAGTTAGAATTGATGAGTTGTTAGAGTTGAAGGTCGGTGCTAATTTATTTGAAATCATGGTGCATGGAGTTGATCCTTCCTTCAAACCAAATTCTTGGGTCCTTGAAGATTGCGATATTTCATTAGAACTTGTTCCTTCAATTGGATCGTAACTGATCGGCAACTGTATTCAGAGGTGTTTCTTTTAGTTTTTTTGGTTGCAAGTGTTGGTTTTTATTTTGTTATGTTCTTTTGCAACTTGAGGTGCATTTTAGAAATCGGGTTACTGTCTTTGAGGTGCAACTTGAGATTTTTAGGTGATATGGTTTTTTGTAATGGAGTGTATTCGGTGTTTTCACATGTACTTGGTGTTCTATTTAATAAATTATGAGGCACTCTTTTCTTCCTTCCAATGTTCTTCAACATACTTCTATGTGGAAGAATACGAAGGGAGTTTTTAATGAGACCTCCAACTTTTATAAAAAAAAATGTGGCACATCATATCAGCTGTTCTTTGCGTCATTTTGATTGACAGAGTTATCTTAAAGTGCAAGCTATTTAACGGAACCAAATTGAATATTTGATCCATAGTTCAGGCTCCAAATGTGTCATTGATCTCATAAAGATGGTACTCATCTTATTATGAAGATATATTAATAAATAACGCAAAGGTTTATCCTATGTGCATAGGTTTTACAAGAAAAACTTTGTGATTTGAAAAGTCTAGTTTGTGTGTGAGAGAGAGAGAACTTTGAAGAAAGGCTGAATCTATTAGATGCAGATTGTATAGAATCTTGTAATTTAGAACTTTATTTTAAGTTTATGCTTAGGCGTTTTCCCCTTAAAAAGGATGTGTATTCCTCTCCTTCCACGTACTCTGCATTAAACACAGATGTAATCCTCCATGGTATTATATGATTGCTGTCACATCTCTTATCTCTGCCATGACATCAGCTTTAACGTTGGAGTCCAAAAACTATGAACCTATAGACAACTTATCCCAGAGTATATAATTCAGTTTCTCCCATGCTTTTTGTAGTGTAGTTTTAAACTTTCTGCTCAGTTTTCCAGCTTGACATTAGTATAGTTTGAAGTGGAAAGGGACCCTTTTTACCTTATAATCTATATGCTACAAATACGATTATATATGCTTTAAGGTGATGGAATTTTTATCAAAAGAGGTCATTGCAGACTTTATGCAATTTTACACTAGTTGAGACTTGTCTTATCAATGTGAAATTAAATTTGAAAACCACCCTATGGAAATTGCTGTAGTTGTTGGGATGGCTTGTTGGGGCACCCGTTATTTTGTTCACACTCTACGTGATATTTTTGCCAATTTTCAAGGTTTTCGTCCCCAAGTTCAGGAGTGTTCCATTGAGCCCAAGGAAACGACGTCATTTGCATTCAGAAGTTGGGCTTAAGGTGAGGCAGGTTTGACTGCTGTTGTAACTTTGTATATTTCTTTCACAGAATGCATTGACTGACTGGAGACTGCAATTATTCATGTTTCTAGCCTGATAATACTTTGTTGTATATAAGTGACTTCTGGATATGTATATTACATTATTTTATAGTATCATATTACAGTAGAAAAACTAATGGTTGAGCATAACATTTGTTCTGTTTTGCTAGCAATTTATTTAAAAAAAAAACTTATTCTCCGGACCTAAAATGGTATTCGATTTTCTTTCATATATGTTTGTTTATCAAATTAAATTAATGGTCGTGATTAAGATTTCAAGGTTTGTTTATTAAACGAACTGAACAAAAACATTGTATGTTCATTAAAGTAAAATGCTACTCGACTAATGAGAAAGTTTGGGCGTTGTTGAAATTGATTTTCATATTTCAACTGAAAAAAAAACTAAAGAAAGTTTATTAATCGATTTTGGGAATTGGAATATTGTGGATGTCCATCCACAATACTTGATGATCATGTCTTTCTCTGTCATGGAATTAATCAGTAATGTGATTGATTGCTAGTGGATGAATGGTTGAAGTCGATGAAGAGGGACTTTGGAAAGTATATATATAGCCAATTAAACGTCTATTCGATTTCTAAGGTTATTTAGATAATTTTTAGAGGTTCATATCTTATATTTTATAATTACATTTAAATACAAAAATATTATATTTTTTGCCCGAATAAAAATCAGTTTTGTGTTGATTTAGGTCAAACAAGTAAATTGACCCTCTGACAAGTGAATGTTGGATATTTATGTAACAAGATAAGGTCGTGCAGTCCATGGAATCTGCAGTGGGAATCCATATATATTTTGACAGAAAAAAGGTTAAGCAAGAAGATCTCACAGTGGCGGATCTATTAAGGTGTGGGAGCATTAAAGTCTGAATTTTTTTTAGAGTAATTATTTATTTTACTGATTGTGTCAATTTTAAAATTTTATTTTATATCCCTGCCACATAAAAATTTTATATTGTTAATATGTACATGCTCAACCTAAAAAACATTTTTGAATCCACCTCTGAGATCTAGTGAATAACAAAACAGATCTGGTCTGATCTGTTTAGGTTCTTTCTTCAGCACAGTACGGGGCATGCATGCATGCAGCAGCGGGATTAGCATTTGATGATAACAAAATATCACCTTTGTTACCTGACTGAACTCCTCCCAAACTTCATAGCAGTGAAAAGAAAATTGAAAAACAGTGTGTGTGATGGAAGAGAGTATTTATTCTTTATTGGAGAAGACAAAGCATATGGATTTAATAATTCAAAGCCAAAGGGAGAGTTGTTTTGTTTCACATGGAAACATCCGCGTGAACCCATTTCTTTTCGTTTCTGCTCCATTTTGCCCCATCTGCTCCCTTCACTGCTCGTTTTCACGTAATACCCATGTTCAACAAAATCACTCTTATGGATATTAACATATATACAAGGAAGAAATCGAGACAGATGGTGATGGAGGAGCCTGGGATTGTCGGTCTTGGAGTCTCGAAACTTTGAATTCCCAGAGTCGGAAGCAACAGGCAAATGATGGGGCATGGGGCTCACACATGTTTCCTTCAACAATAATTGTCAAACATCAATTTCATATTCCATTTTTTTTATTAAAAAAATATTATTCCTCTATAAATATAATCATTTTCCACATAGAGATTTATTACTTCTGCAATACAAACAATGAAGGCCAAGTTGACAGCACATTTCATCCTACTATGTCTCTTCACATTCCATCTACTTTCTTCTTCTTCTTCAATGTTGCTGACAGGAAGGAGATCCCTAGATCAGATGCCATGGCTTCATCACCACAAAGACATATATCCCAATGCAAAGGTAATATTATATTATAAATGGTTTTGGATGGCAAAACAATTGAGGAATTGATCATGGTGTGCATGCATGCAGGTGGCACTTGATGAATCTAATCGGCATATGGATGATGATGATGATGAGAATGTTAATTACCACATAGATTACCATGGGGTCACTACTCATCCAACTCCAACCCCTAAACATCCCAACCCGTAGAATTTTATTTATGGCTTATAAGTCCATGTAAGCACTGCAATAATGCTCAAATATGTACCTCATCTGAAAATCAATACATGGTTGAATTTTTTTAATTATTTAGCTAAGTTAATTGAAAGTATTCAAAGATAACAAAAAGTGAAATGTAAAGGGAAAGATGGTTGGTAACCAGATATTGATGATGTGAGATTTTTATATAAGATAGCATGAAAAAATGCCTTCAATTGTGTAACAATAGCAGATGATATGCAGATGCAATCAAACAGAATGCAGAGACAACATTCCGTTCATATACTGCTTTCTGACCTGCTTATACTTTTCATGCAATGTCATATAATTTGCACTAACATCGTCGTATGATACCTCACTACAGAACTTCGATTTCATATCCATGAACACACTTTCCGCCCCTCTTTGTGTTCAACATATACCGGGAACATATCTTTTATACCTGTCGATTCGACTTTGCAATCCCAATCATGTCCTTCAACATTTTCCCCCTCTTGATTCAGATGTCGCAACCATCTTATCCTTGAAACGGGTCTTCATTTCTCTCAATAGCTACTTCCACACTCTTCAATGCTTCCAAGAACCTCGACTCACTGCTAATTTTGTCGATCAAATAGCTGAAAGTTGTTCTTTGGTATAGATCAAGCCAGCTATTCGTGTCTGATTGCGATGCAGCAGCAGCTACCAAGCATGCCTTCCGGAATGTAGGATCAGAGTTACCAATCAGACCGATAACTATATGCAGTAGCCTGATTGACATGACATTTAGAATTCCTGATAAAGACTTAAAAGAAGGATGACGATGATATTGAGAACATTTCCAACAAAACAATGCCACATGCATAAATCCCTCCCACCTGTGTAAATGAAGGAAAGAGTGTATAAGTTCTAATGTCATATTATAAAAATTTACAACCACTTAACCGCATAAAAACTGAACTCAAATTAAGTAATACAATATGCATGTGACCAAGCAAAGCATAGCATATGTTTTTGCCGGCATCTCGAATTAGGAGGGTAACCCAAAGAAACAGAGCACCAAGAGAGTAATCAATTATAAATAGCATCCAAGTAAGATACGTCATATTATAGAATTATGGCAGAAAAATCAAATGTAATAAATCCGATCCACTCAAAATCATCAACATTAACTCGATCATGGCAATCAAATATACAAGAGATGTCCAAAGACCTTGACCAAATATGTTGTCCAAATGCCCCACATATTATTATGTCTGAAGTCCACGACTAAATAATTTTGTCAACAACATGGGTCACTCCACATGCAATGTTCAACTATCAACTTTCGAACGGTCACCGCAATCAATCAAAAGCTGCCTTAATCTATTTAGGAATTTCAAATGAAAGAGAAGGAAAAAAGTACGTTTTTTTTAATATTAGAAACTATAAAAATCAACCATCAATTTCTATGATGAATGTCTATATTTAAATTTAGAAACAATGATAATTAGGGAAAAGTAAATAGATTCAAAAGTCCAACTGTAAATTACTGAGAAAAACCTTTAATTGCTGCTAATCTAGTTAAAAATGATAGAACCTAACCTTAAATTAACTAAAAGTTTAAAAAAATCCAAGAATCACTCGATGGTTTCATCATACAATAGTCATAGATTCAGAAAAACAACTATCCAAGTTATCATCACAAAATAAAAAAAAACAATTATCCAAGTTATTATTCAATATCACTGTAGTCGAAAGGTGACTCATGTACTATAGAAACCTAAGTTCTCCATATTAAATGATATGGCAAACCAACGTATACACCCACTTTGACAAAACAATATCATCAATCGTTTTCATTGCTAAAAGCTTCGATATTGCTTTTTCCCAGCAAAAGGTCCAAACAGAAGGCAACTATCACCTGGTCACATGCTGCAGTCAGTGTCCCATTAAATAAGAAATTAGATCCTTGCCATGTGCACCAACAAGCAAAACACTGAAGGCCAGAAATAGGGACTACCTCACATGTCAACTGTCTAATAAAGGAACCTAATCACCAAAAAACTGATAATCAAAGGTAATTTTTCTATCAATTACTTCACATACAAAATTTTCCAACATGTAATCAGCATATCAACTAAATCTATACAAAGAGAAAGAAAAAGGATTTCGGGGTGGTGAGTGGTATATATGATATAAGTTTGTTAGTTGGAACATGAGATAAACAATTTACAATTGTTGAGTTTCATATAAAACATGAAAGACCAAAAGTTGCCTTCAATGCATATGATTATACTTTGGATGAGAATAGGGGTAAATGAAAATCTTGGCTTCAATTCATATAATTTTGGTAATAACTTCTTATATCTTCAATGTTATCATTTTTCATTGTTTCTTTCACAAAGGAGACAAACCGCAAAAAAAATCCAAAAATTAGCAAAACTATAAAACCATGTTAATTAATTTATTACCAGAAAAAATTCATCTAAAATTATAAAGTGTTCCCTCAATTTTAAGGCACATCGTTCTCGTGGAGATACAGTAATCTTTAGAAAACTGCATCATAGAAAAATAGAAAAATAAACAAAAATACATAAAGAAAGGGAATACATACAGACCCTTTAAGAAATTTTAACACAACATCATACAAGAAATTAAAACTCTTAAGATGAATTATCTTGCAAACTGCAATAATGCTTAATGCATTTATTGTGTCTAATGATAATGCGGGTAATATTTTCCTAGCCAAATCATAAGGAAATTAGTGGAGTAAGTTTCAGTCTGTCCCAGAATATACAAATAGCATGCAACACTAATATCAGCAATTAAAATGATGAATATACATTAAGCAATAAAAATATTCAATGAAGATGCATTATCATTTAGAATGGAAACAGAAATGGTTCATGGAAATGAAATTTTGACTCATTAGAATTTAAGAAACTCTTATAAAAAATTAACTTACTCAAATGGAGGTTCAACCTCAACTCCAAAAGTTAAGTGCAAGGAAAACCCAACAGATCCATCTTGCTTATCATAATGTGTACATGCTTCATGAGGAAAGCCCCTGGGGATATATAAAACATCACCTTCATTAAGCAAAAAGTGATAACAGTCTCTTGCACTATCAATGGTTTCATTGTTTAGAATGTTACAAGTGTCATATAATCGAGGTAATTGCCCATTTGGCCTAGAAAATATTTTCCACTGCTTAGATCCAAAAATTTGGCAGACAAATACACAGTGATCATCATAATGACGAGCCAGCCCTTGAGAATTAGGTGGAGTTAAGTACATATTGGCACCTGCCGATGGTTGACCAAAGATTGAAGCTAATCTGTCAGAAATAAAGGCAAGCCTTTCAAAACGGAATTCCATTCCACGCAAAGCCACTGTATAACCATCATTATATGCTTCTTGACATTTTAAAATATCATCTAAACGTAAAACGTGTGGAGTCCTGACCCGGCAAGAGCCTGAATTTTCTTTAAAAAAGCGCACCTCTTGTTTTAACTGGCTATCTGTTCTTAGAACCCGTATGTCTTGTTCATTGATAATAGGACAACCCAATTTATTCGTAACCTCCATCAGGAAATTAAAGATGTCCAACTCATCCGAATCAATAGGTAAGCAGGAAGTTAGATCTTGAAGGATAGAAGAGAGCAGAAGGAAATGAATCTTTAAAACCAAGAGATTGCATAAAGGATGTAAATATTTCATCCACCTCCAATGAAGCACTCGAGGGTCTTCTTACAACACAAGGTAAGATCTCCCACTGACTTAATATGAAATATTTGAAATCACCCTCACTAAGCCAAAATATTCTTCCTTCAACATTATTGCTGTACATAAGGGCTGCAAATTGATCAGCATTAATGGAAAGCCTAAAAATGCTTTCTGCCAGATCACTGATGGTAATATTGCTGAAATATAAGTTCATCCCTTGACCAGCTCCTAAAAGATCACTGGTTAATATTTTTTTGTGAGCTTTTCTCCATACTTCTTTCAAAGAGACAGAAAAACATTCAGATACGTTGCCTGGGATCTTTCTTAATTGCTCAATGTTGCATGTGTTTATGAGAATGATGGCAGCATTAAGAAGTAAAACTGGAAGTTTACCTTTCTGAAAGACTATCCTGAGAGAAGAAATATTTATATCATCTCCAGTGCTTAAAGAAATCTGTATTGATGATATTTGAACCTTAAGGAAGGCAAACCTGGCAACAATTAAGTACCTCAAGTTATAATTTTAACAAATCTACTAGCAATATATGCTAATATATATATAGCCTAGCTATGAAAAAATCTTTTCAAGGAAAAATGAAGTGACAAATTAATATTTGGGGTTGTCTTCTAACATACTGATTAAACATGTCATTTGAAACAAGAATGCGAAAACCATAAGAAATTTGGAAAAAAGTCACTTCGCTTCGTAATAATTCTACTCTGCTAGAAATGGAAGAAAATAAGTCCAAACAATGTATGTCTAAATTTTATTTATTTCATATTTTTATCATTTGAATCTTACATTTCAGAGGAAATGTAAAAGCGCTTTGCTTGTTATTATACTGGTCAAGCAGGAGATATTTTACACAAAGTTTGCTGGTGTATGAGACAGTGCATATGTCATTTATTTGATATATCCACCCTCCCCCCCCCCCCCAAAATAATTTTATAGTATATGTAAAATGAATAAATCCCAAAACAAAGGGAATTACCCATTTATATGAACTTAAATAGTTAATTCTAATCATTCAGCATCGAAATGAAGTTTTAGGCAAATATCTAACTATATGTTTACCAATAATCATGTGAATAAACTATGCAACCGATGATAATAGTTTATGTTCAATGGCAGTATGAAGCAAGAAAAGACATTATTGTGGTTCATATTTCTTAGTTTCATACGCAAGGCAAACTTGTAATACCAACTTAAAGCCCCTAAACCAAACTAAATATGCACTGCACACTCAATGGATTTTGCACAGCATTGTTTTAGTTTATCACCTATGTTTCTCTACCTTTTTGTATCTATCGTCTAAAGCTCTATTTAGACAGCCACCTACTGTTACTTCATTTTGCTTTGCTTTGCTTTTCATGGTGAGTTAACAGTAGACTAAATAGTAGTAATACTAATTTGGTAGTGGTCTAAAATAACATGAATGAGTAAAACAAGTAAAACAAGCAAAACAAAGCAAATAATTGAAATGAGACTACTTATTGGGCAATTATATATAAAGAATCTTAAATAAAATACTGACATAAGAGTTTCCAAAGCAGAGAAATGGAGCAATCGTTGTCTTCCAAGACAAGTAGAGCATAAATCCAAAATGGCATCGCAGGCAGCCATGGAGACGGCCTTTCGAGGAGTGGGGATCAATGAAATCAAAGCCTTAAGGGTGAGAGAGTCAGAAACGACCTGGCGATTCAACTGAAACGACAGGAGAGAAGCCGCCCCAACAAACTGGGCGGTGAGGGTGGCGATGTGATGAGATTCGGAGCGGAGGAGGAGAGGGCAAAGGGAGAGAACACAAGTGGCTTGGTCGGGTTGGATTGGTTGAGAAAGGAGTTTTTTCAAGCAATTCTTCACGACTGTATTAGTATTACTGCGAGAGAGAGCGGCGGCCATTAACAGAGGGAAGAGTTGTGTATTACTCTCTCTGACACTAATAACAGTATTCCCTGCATTCGAATGGGAGTGGGACTTTCTTTCGCGGTTTCCAACGTGTCTCTCCTTCCTCTTCTTCTTCTGCAGCTGCAAGCTATCCATTTTTGCAATTCTCAAGTTCCAAATCAATTTGAGTCTCCAGTTTATCTCATACTGGTCGGAAGATTCAAGATTCTCGGGGAATTATAACAATTCAGCTGCTCGCACCTTGAAGTTGCCCCACTCGATTCGCGTCCGCTTAATTATGGATTTTGAACTCTTTTAAGTTTGGGAAACTTAAATTAGTTAATAGGGTTTCCAGAATTCAAATTATTTTTTATCAGCCTTTCTCGATTTTTTTAGAAAAAGTTATTTGAGTTTTTTAATTTCTTTTATATTTCTAACCTTTATTTTTATATTTTTCATAGAGTCAAATCAATTATAAAAAATATAGTTAGATATATAAAAAAGGCTCAATTGATAAAGAGGGTTAATAGATAAAAAAGTGATTATTATAGAGTAAAGAGAATAAAAGATAGAAAAATTTGGTACAAAGATTTAAAGTGGTTCGACTTTCAACCAAGTCTACATTCACTACCTTAGCTCATTACTTAGGATTTTCTAATAAATTCACTAATTTGTTCTTTTTTTTCAAGGATAAAGAGATAACATTTATAATTCTCAATCTTTTGAATTGCCTAAAATAGAACCAAAACCTTTTTACAAGGAAAAAGAATGTAAACAAATAAAACCTCTAAAAATGAAGTTGTTTACAAGAATTTAGCTCACAAGAACAAAATATTTACAAGTGAAAGTAAAATAGGAATAAAAACTCTTTTCTTGTGTTGGATTGTTTGGATAGGTGTTCTAACCTTTCTTCAAGTGTCCTCAACTTGTTTTTATATGTTGGAATGTTGTTGTGGCTGTTTCTAGCCGTTGGAGGTATTTTGGAGCCATTGGGGATCAATTTTCATGCAAAATAAAGCTAACCAGAACAGAGGGTATCGGTACTCCTAAAGGGAGTATCATTACTACCTTTCTTATTTTTTTAGTCGTTACTAACCGTTGGGGCCTGATGGTATCGATATTACTATGTAGAGTAGTATCGATACCCCTTTGGGTATCGGTACCATTTTTACATTCTGGAATTTGAGCAATGCTGGTAGTATTAATACTACCTAGTGAGTATCGATACTTTCCTTACCTTTGGTATCGGTACCATATGAACAGTATCGATACTTTTCATGAGATATCGATACTGTAAGAACAGTATCGATACTATTTGTCCAGAAAAACGTTTTGTGCTCAATTCCACTTATAAATGGACTTTTAATTATTTTTGAAAACTTTGAAAAACTTTGAATAAATTTAATTCAAGTCTAAAAACATTTTGCCTTAATTGTTATATCAAAATATAGTTCAGCAATCTCCCTTTTTTGATATAATAAAACATTGAAAAATTGTTTCTGGCAAAACTCCCTCTTAATAAAATGTTTAATGAAAAAGATACCAATTGTTGGAAAATATGTGAAAATGTTCAGCTCCTCCTTTTTCATTAAGAAATTGAATTTTTCAAATTCATACTTCTCTTCTTTTTTGTTAGATAAAAAATAATTCAACTTTAAAGTTCAAAAATAACTTTGGAGAGTAAGTGATAATTTTTTCATTAAAAACCATTTGAAAAATAAAAGTCCCCCCTTAAAAAGTGCATTCCAAACAAAAATTGACTTTAAAAACTTGACACTTAAACAAAATTGAATTTCAACAAAGAGTAACAAACATATTAGTAGCAAATGAAATTCAATATATCCAAGTTTAAAATACTTTATGCAATATCAATAATTGAAATTAAGTACATATGCATAAAACTTTAAAAAATGTTATGCATTTAAAACGCATGCATAAACATTTAAATTTAGGTCAAAAATTTAAAATTTGTAAAAAAACAAAACATTTGAAAAGTTGATATCAATTGTTAGAGAGATATCATTTGCATTGAAAATCAATTTTGACCAAAATTCATTATGATGAACTAAAAATTATGGAAAATCATTAAAAATTTAAAATGTTCATCATAAAACTTTTTCAACATACATGAGATGAAAAACAAAATATAGTCATTTAAGATCAAAACTCATGCATACTTAAAACTAAATGAGCAACCAAATAATCATAAAACAAAAGCATTAAGCTTAGAGGTTATCCATTCTTTTTCAAGTGTGGCTAGAGCATATCAGTTTCTTCATTTTCATCACCATTGCTCCCACACACCTAAAAGAGACATTTATTTGGATTTTGATATCCAAATTGCTTTGGATTCTTGGACGTTAGTATACTTGTCTAATTTTAAAAGTTTTTCTTTTCTTTATGGACAAGTATGTTCCAAATGACCATAAAATGACAATGTGAGCATTTTTCCATTTTTAAACATAATGAGTTGTTTTGAGAAATTAATTCTCTTTCTTTTGTTAAGCTCTCAAGCTTAACTTTCAAATCAAAATTTTCTTTTTCTAAATCTTTAATTTTGACTTTTTGAAAACTCTAAATCATTTTTCAAATTTTCATTTTGATTTTCAAAATCAATTTTTTCTTTCAAAACCAAATCAATTTCAACTTTGAGTTTTGAAATTAATTTCTTATATTTGGAATTCATGGTCTCAAATTCCAAATACAACTCATTATAAGCATCTTGTAACTCATCAAAAAAAAGTGAATTTAAATCATTTGAGTTAGAATATACCATTGAATCTCCTTCGATGGTCATGAGGCAAAGGTTGACTACTTCATCTTCATCATTGGAGTCATCTTCATCACTCCAAGCCGCCACAAATGTCTTTTTCTTGCTTGAACCCTTCTTCTTTAGGAGAGGACATTCATACTTGACATGCCTCGTTCTTTGACAATTGAAGCATATCAGGGGACCCTTCTTCTTGCTTGATTCATGCTTCACTTCCTTGGAAGACTTGAATCTCTTGAACTTTTTGAAGTGTTTGGCCATCTCTTATTCTTTATCTTCTTCATCTACCTATTCACTTGAATCTTGATGGCTCTCAGTGGTGGACTTGAAGGCAATGCCTACCTCATTCTTCTTATTATTTTGCTTCTCTTCATCTTCTTCCTCTTCCTTCACCATCAACTCATGAGTAAGAAGAGAACCAATCAACTCGTCGAGAGAGAGAGACTTTAGGTCTCTAACTTCGATAATCGTCATCTTCTTTGATTGCCAAGACTTTGGAAGAGAGTATATCATCTTCCTCACAAGCTTCTCATTTGAGATAACTTCTCCAAATCCCTTAAGACCATTGACAATCACGAAAAATCTATCAATCATAGTTTTAATGTCTTCATCGGGTTTCATCTTAAAATTCTCGTAGCTATGGTTGAGAAGACTTATCTTGGTTTTCCTCACTTCATTGGTTCCTTCATGAGTGACTTGGAGTTTATCCCATATCTCCTTGGCATTGGAATAAGAAGAGACGCTTCCATATTCATCTGGGCCTAATGCACAAAAGAGAATGTGCATAGCTTTAGCATAGAGTTGGAATTTCTTCTTCTCTCCACCACTCCAATCGTCCATCTCGCCTGTTGGATTGGTGTAGCCTTTCATGATGGAGTTCCAAGCTCCTAGATCGTTGGCTTAAATGAAGAACTTCATCATATTCTTCCAATAGACATAATTTGCTCCATTGAAGTAGGGTTGCTTGTTGACCGGTTGTGAATCTTCACTGTAGTAGGCACCGGAGGTTGATGTCATTTCTTTGTCGATTGCTTTAGGAATCGGTAGAGTTTCTTTAAGGATTATCTCAATGTTGTCAAACCTTCTAATGAGTCAAGCTCTGATACCAATTATTAGGATTATCGAGAGGCTCAATTGAATAACTGAAAAGATGCAAAGGGGTTAATAGATAAAAAAAATGATTAGGGAGTAAGGAGAACAAATGATAGAAAAATTTGGCACAAGGATTTAAAGTGGTTCGACTTATCAACCAAGTCTACATCCACTACCTTAACTCCTCACTAAGGATTTTCTAACAAATTCATTAATTTGTTTTTTCTTTTTCAAGGATAAAGAGATAACCTTTACAACTCTCTATATTTTGAATTGACTAAGATAGAACCAAAACACCTTTACAAGAAAAAAGAATGTAAACAAATAAAACCTCTAAAAAGGAAGTTGTTTACAAGAATTTAGCTCACGAGAACAAAATATTTACAAGAGAAAGTAAAATAGGAATGAAAAACTGTTCTCTTGTGTTGGATTGCTTGGATAGGTATTTTAACCCTTCTTCAAGTGTCCTCAACTTGTTTTTATATGTTAGAATATTGTTGTGACCGTTTCTAGCCGTTGGAGGTGTTTTGGAGCCGTTGGGGATCAATTTTAGTGTAAAATAAAGCTGCCCAGAATAGAGAGTATCAGTACTCCTAAATGGAGTATCAGTACTACCTTTGTTATTTTTAAATCAACTAGTCGTTACTAGCCGTTGGGGCCTGATGGTATCAATACTATGCTCATGGTATCGATACTACTATGTAGAGTAGTATTGATACCCCTTTGGGTATTGGTGCCACTTTTGCATTTTGGAATTTGAGCAATGCTGGTAGTATCAATATTACCTAGTGAGTATCGATACTTCCCCTACCTTTAGTATCGATACCATATGAACAATATTGGTACTGTTCATGAGATATCGATACTGTAAGAACAATATCGGTACTACTTGTCCAGAAAACGTTATGTGCTCAATTTCACTTATAAATGGACTTTTAATTATTTTTGAAAACTTTGAAAAACTTTGAATAAATTCAATTCAAATCCAAAAACATTTTGCCTTAATTATTATAACAAAATATAATTCAACAATATAGTTAGATTTTTTTCACTCATTTTTACCTTCATATTTTTAATATAAACATCTAGTATTATTAAAAAAAGTGAAAATATTCGAAATTACAATAAAAATTTACAACTATTATCGTAAACTAAATACATAATTTGGATTTTCTTATAACATTAAAACTAGCCACTTTAGATCAAATAATGATCATACATGAAAAAGGTTAAAAACCCAACCAAAATACTGAAACAAAAATAGATATGAACAAATCTGACTGTATCAATAAACGAATCGTAAAAGGGGATTAAGCTATTGAAAGACCATCGAGAACTTTAAATCAGAGTCGAACGTCGTGAGAAACTGTCCACAAGCGCAAAATCATGCATCCAAATTCAATCCAAAGGTCCATAGCAGGGAATATAAAAAGATTTCAAATAAACG